TTTCTAGTAAAAAGTCTTCGTTAACGAAAATATTTGTTCCTTTTAATCGATTTAGTTTTTTTAATACTTTCACTTTATCTTTACATCGTTGAAGGTTGAGAACTATTTTCCGAGGTCTTCCGTCTTTCTTTTGTCCAGTGCGATGGGCACGTTCGATTTCAATATCTTTAACACCAAGGTTTTGTTTCAAAAAAAAAAAAAAAATGGACTTTTTGTTCTGTTAGTCCCCAAGTTTCTTTTTCGTCTTCGTATAAACCATCTATTCGTAGATTATTTCTACGTGAACCTTCAAGTTTTTGATGTTTTTCTTTTAAATTTTCATTTTTGAATAATTCCCATTCTAATTGTTTGCTATTGTATTCGATTTTTTTTATCAATAATGTTTTCGTTTATGCTATCGCTTATTTCTTCAATTTTTTTGATTATTTTAATTACATTTTCATCAGCATTGGTCTCAAGCTTGTCCAATCAGCATTGGTCTCAAGCTTGTCCAATCTTTCGTTTATAATTTTCAGATTTCCGCCAATCTGTTTGTTCGTGTTTTTTAAACATAGCTTCGGTTTCTTTTTTAAACTCACCAAACATTACTTTTAACATTTTCTTTATTTCTTGATGAATCCATGCCATATTGATTTACAAGGAACTCTAACCACTGCGCCACGGCTGTACAAATTTAAATTTAAATAAACTTTTAAATTCAAGAGGCAATCAAACAGTGGCGCCAATTCAATTTTTTGGTCTTTGAGATAGCTAACTTTCATACATGGAGCAAACTCCAAACATTTATATGTTTATACTTATGTTAAATAAGGATGCTTTGTAAGAAATTGCGATGATTGGAGCATGGGAACAAAAAAGCCCCAAAATTTTCGCCCCCTGCCCCAAACGTGAGAGCAATAAGTTGATGAAATGTTTTTTTTTTACTATTTTCAACTAGACTTATATTCATCGAAAAATTTTAAATTTCATAGTATTATCTCTCAGCGTTCAAAAATTACGACAATATAAAATTTGCAATCCCCTCAAATTGAGGGGAGTTTAAACTTTATATTGTCATTATTTTTGAACGCTGAGAGATATTATGAAACTTAAAATTTAAAAGTCTAGTTGAAAATAATACAAAAAACATTTGATCAACTTGATGTTCTTTTTTTTTTTGCCATATAAGTCTATTCAAGAAGAAGACATAATTGGTCTTATCACCAAGCACCTTATCTATACCGTAAATAAAAAACGTAACAATATATAATATAAAACGCTTTTTAAAGACTTTATTAAACAAAAATATAATATAAAACGTTTTTTAAGACTTTATTAAACAAAAATCATCGGCGCTTAAGTCCTACTTAAACTTTTTGTTTTTTTATTGTTTAAGAAAAATTTAAAAACAAATGAAAAATTATAAAGTAATTACAAAGAAACTATATTACTTATAAGCATGCAAGCAAATACGCATTATCCTGAAGCTTTCCTTTTACACCAGCATATACCTTGAAGTATGTGAATAATTCTTATAAATCATAATTTTTTATATAAAAAAAAAAAAAAAAAAAAAAGAATTGAAGCAATAACAAGTGGCATGATCCTTTTCTAAGATTGTCGACAATATTTGACATATTTCTAAGATTGCCGACAATCATTAAAACTTCAGAAAAAGCCGGTAGCTATGTCGTTCATCAATAATTTTTGCTTCAATTTATTCTTAAACTCATTAAGCGTTGAAATTGTTTTAAGTTCATTAGTTAATATTTTATTCCATAATTTTGGCCCTCTAGTCGAAATTGAAAGTTCATTCGCCGCAAAATAACTTTTGGGTTGAATATAAATGTTACTTAAAAATCTGGTTAGATATCTATTCTAATTATATCTATTCTAATTATAAATAGCGGGTGAAATATTTTAGGAGATATATTTTTTACTAGCTTTGAACATAAATATAAGAATTTGTTAGACATTTAATTGATAAGCATTCATTATTTTTAAATTAACAAATAATGCTTGGGAGTGCGTATAACGGCCTACATTAGAAATGATTCTGATTGCATGCTTTTGTATATTAAATAGCTTTTTTATTTTATTTTTATTTGTACTGCACCAAGCAATGTTCGCGTAATTAAGATGGCAATGAACGAGAAATATAAAAGCTTTAGGTTATATTTAAAAAAGGCTTATATTTAAAAACTTAGTTCAGCACGGGCTTTGCATAAATTATTAATAAAAACCTTCAATTTTTTAATTTTTTTTTCCCATTAATGAAAGCATTCTAAAAATAACTTATTTATTATGAATAAGCATTAAAAATGATAGAGTTATTTTTGTAATAAACTTTGAACATAAAAATTAAAGATGATAAATGTTTTGTTGGTAGACATTGAGTATATTCAGCTTTATAAATAGTTCTTTGAAGTGTGTAAAACGATCTACATTAGAAAATATTATAACTGCACGTTTTTATACTAAGATAGGTTTGCATAATTCAGATAACAACGAATAAAGGAAAAATATAGCAATTTTAAACAAGTTTGTTAAAGTAGGCTAATATTTCTTGAAATTATACCTTCAGGATAATGTAAATGATCTGTCCACATTTTAGTCAAGGAGTACGCCCGGAAATTTTAACGAGTGTTCTCTTTTATTAACTTGACTGCCAATACAAAGTATTGGAAGTTTTAAGGGGATTTTATCGCGTTAATGAAAGCGATAGAATAAAGTATACTTTGTTTTTATTAAATTGATAAATTAATTAAATCAAACAAAACAAAACAGCAACAACAAACACATAAATAACAAAATAAAAAATGAAAAGATTTGCTTAAGTCATTAATAAAGTGTGAAAATAAGAGTGATACTAGAATTAACTCTTGGGGAACCCTGTTCATACTATCAGTTTCTCCGCAGCTTAAAGAAATGTATTGTTTCCTATTTCCAAAATAGTTTTGAAATCATTTAATATTTGAATGTTTAACCCCGTAATTTTCTAGTTAGTTTAAGAGAATTTAAACAGAACTTTCTTATTAAACTATTTGGCGGGCTCAAAGTAAAAAGATAATAACTAACAGTTTTGCGAAACGTAGAAAACACGGTTTGAAAGTTGAAATGCTTTTCATAAACCAATGAAAATCCAAACTTATCTGATATTTAGCATAAAAATGGTTATTAAACAAATGTTCTGATCATAAAATAGTATCATGTTAAACTTAAGCAACCCAATTCATCAGAAATCCTGAGCAACCCAATTCATCAGAAAAACCAATCCTGAAAGCAACCCAATTCATCAGAAAAACCTATGATCAACCCAATTCATCAGAAAAAACACAAAAACCGGGATTTTTGTGTTTTTTGTCAATATACTTTAATAAATAATTGATTTTATTTCTTATGTATTATTATGTGCTATTTTAAAGGTTGGTACAGAGGAGAGAAGCGAGCCATAAAGTTTGCTATCCCGCGAATTTGGCGAGATTCGACGGACAAATCAAGCAACTGCTACTTCTGCATGATAAACCCAAAAAATTGTCACTCCGGTAAACATGGCTCTCAGATTGTTTATTCGGACACCTTCCTCCATCGCCCCAGCACCACACAGCCCCTATCTGATAGCGAGACAGATACTGGAGAAATGGACTATATAGCAAAATGTTGCTGAGTGCATTAAAGTATGACAACTACAGGTGGGACGTCATTGGTGACTTCAAAAGGGTATCATTACTCATGGGTCTTTACGGAGGTTTTACGAAATTTTTAACTTATTGCACAAAGAACTGGCCACAACGAACAGAGTTTTCTGTTGGGAAGAGCAATGTGAAGTCGGAGTTGCTGATAGACCTCATAAAGTGCCTATGCCACTACTGCACATTAATTTAAGTCTCATTAAGCAATTTGTCACTGCTCTTGACAAGTAATCAGCAACATTTAACTACCTCCAAGATCTTTTTCCAAAGCTATCAGAGGCTAAGGTCAGGGCTGTTATATTCGTCGGACCGCAGATCATAGAATGTGAGGATTTTGCAAAGCTGTTGAACAGAAAGGAGAGAGCGGTTTGGAGCAGTTTTGTTGCAGTTGCTCGGGGCTTCCTTGGTAATCGCAAAGCTGAAAACTATGTGGAGTTGGCCAAGACTCTAATAAAAAATAACTCCAAAATGGGATAAAGCATGTCTCTGAAAGTCCTATATTTGACTCGCATCTCGACTAATTCAAGGAGAACATGGACACTTAATCCGAGGAGCAAGGCGAGGGGCACTACATTTAGGGGCTACTTCGAGAGAGCGATTCACAGTACAATCGTAAATCTAGAAAATTTTGAACCTTTCTGAGTGGTTTCCGACTGTGTTAGTTTAATGTTTGTGCAATTTATGTTTTTACCTGATCATGAGAAAAATGAAAAGAACCGTTCAATTTTCACAAAAAAACATGCTTTCTTCGTGCTGTTGTCGTGTAAGCAAAGTTTGTGCTTAATGAAGTCATTTTTTCACATATTTAACAACTTACAGACATAAGCAATTAAAATATAACACTTAGAAACCAGAAACAAAAATTGTGTTACATAGTGTTATTTTTATAGTTTGCATTAACTTACCCCGGCGTGGGTAAGGTAATACATATTGGTAAAAAAAAAATAATTATCTTTTGAGGCTGAGCTGAGTTCTAAGTTTATACTTTTCAAGTTCATACTTTTCAAAAAAATTGCCTTTAGGACTACAGAGCTCAAAAAGTAAAAACATTTTCAAAGAGTAAAAACAGAGGCAATTAGCCCTGGTCTCCCCTACATATACATAAATTTGCAATTTTGACACAGCAATATATAGAAATTTTTTGTCCGCGTCACTTGTAGTTTGCCTTTCGTTTAATAACTGTCAAATGAAGCAGATTTGAAAAAAAAAAAAAAAAAAAAAAGAAAAAAAGAAATTGTATTGAATTTAATTATATAATTTTCTAATTTTACAAATATTATTTTACTGTATAAAAAGTAAAATTATTAAATAATGAAGTTAATAAAAGTAAAACAAGTATTGGGCACTGCAAAATTTCATTTTGTAAAATTCTTCCTTTTCAAGAATTAACTAAAAAATAAAATATACATTATTTAACATGTAGATTACATAAAACATGAAATCTATTAAAGCAATTAATCACAAACCTTCTTTTAAAGGCTGACGTAAGACACTAGTAGAAAGATCATCAATTAATCGTTTTGATTGTGAGGAACTTTCTTTCTGAAATTTAGCAATAACACTTTTCAATTTTAGTACTTCCTAAAAAAAAAAGAACTTACAAAAAACCTTGTTTAAAACACGCGACAAAGATTCCATCAAAAAGCAAACCATCACGAAGTATAATACCAAAAGAAATAAAAGAACTTAAATATACCCTAATACTAAATTTATTTATGTTATCTTGAAATAAAGATTAAAAATTATTTTAACATTTATTTTAAAAACGTTATTTTACGCTAATTTACTTTATTAAACGTTAGTACAAATTTACAAACATTCATCTTTTCATAACTATTTTTCTTTTTTTTTTAAATATGAAATATCCAAATTTTTATTTTGGATAAAAGTTCTAAAATTTCTATGATAATACGCTTCTTTTAAGACCCAGGTTGACATATTTTTGAAAATTTTTTTCTTTGGACAATATTTGGGATTTTATCCCAAATGCAAAAGATTTGAACGTCACGTCAAGTTGTAAAGATTTAATTATTTTTACTTAACGTGATGGTGAAAAATGAGTTGCATATTTACAACTTGACGTGATGGTGAAAAATGAGTTGCATATTTACAACTTGACGTGATGGTGAAAAATGAGTTGCATATTTACAACTTGACGTGATGGTGAAAAATGAGTTGCATATTTACAACTTGACGTGATGGTGAAAAATGAGTTGCATATTTACAACTTGACGTGATGGTGAAAAATGAGTTGCATATTTGAAATGAAAATGAAAAATACTTTACAAAAAACAAATTATTTGCTCAGCACTATAAAATTTTGATGTTGTTGTTGACCTGCGTAATTGAATATAACTATTTTTTGAAAAATCTTATTTTTGTACGAAATAAGGTACTCCAGTTGTACCAACGAAATATGGTACTCCAGTTGTACCAAGAAACAATATTCTAACCAACAAAAGTATTCATTAAGTAAACAAATAAAAACTTATTCTTATTAACTAATATATCATTATTTTGTCATTTAATTTTTTAAAATGGCAGGTGGTAATGCAATCTTATTTTGATTTATTATTCATATTATAAATTCACACTAAGTGTCAACACGCTCAACTCATAATAAATACTTTATTTTTTATATAAGTAAATAATTACAAATTAACTTTTGTCTTTGCATAACTATATTATTGAATATATAAGCAAAAAAAATTTTTTTTAAACTGTTTAGTTAAAATGGTAAATTAATAATTAAAATTATTTTAAATTTTTTACACAAGAATAACTGTGGTTGTTGTTCATTTTCTTAATGAAATATGTAAAAAACTTTTAGGTAGTGGTTGAATTCTTTGATCAACAAACAATACTAATAATTAATCAAGTAATTTACACAAAGATATTATAAACATAGCCAATCTATTAACAAGTTTGTTAGTGATGCTATAGATGTTGTGTAAGCAATAGGTGCCAAACATGTTGGAGTAGGTGGCTTATTAAAAAAGGATCTATCCTATTTCATAGCACAGCAGCAAAAAATGAAAAATTTCACCAGTTCTAATCATCAATTAAACTGATATTATATCATAAAATATTTTTTTAAAATAAAAACGTTGAAAATATATTTTATTATATTTGTCCTTACCATTTTAAGAGAACAATTTTCTTCTTTCAGCTTTCGTACATGATGGATTTTCTGTTTGTTATTTTGATGTCCTAGCAACATTGCATACTTCTCCGATAATTTACCAAGCTACATAAAATGAGAAATAACTTCAAATATAAAAATTTCAGTAATCAACATGATATATCATCTAAATTATTTTTTTATGTATCTATATAAAAATAAATCTTGTATATAATTCCTCAAAATTAAAATGGTTTGTTTTTAATAATAACCAATTAATAAAAACACTGACAATACATTCTAACCTCAACTTGAGATGCAGCATTTTCATAAAGCAAAATATCTTTTTCTGCTTGGAATTTATCTAACTGATCCTATAAAAAAAAAATACTCAATAATAAAAACAAGGCTTGTTTTGTACAGATATTAATTGCATCCAGCCATTGTCTTGAAAAAAAGTATTTTAAGTAAAAAAATTTTCATGACCTGACATCACTTCTTCATCTAACAGGCTCGCATATTGAGGGCACAGCTTTAACACTCAGTTAAAGGTTTTAAACCTACCTGGTTCTTAAAGTCGATGGTAGGTCTGCTACGGCTGAAAATAGCTGAGTATTAACTGTGCCATGTTTGGCATGAAGATAATCCAAAAAGACAATAACATAAAAGAACACAAAAGAAAGAACACAGTGTTGCCACTTAATGAGATTATCAAAAACATTGCAACAATTATTAGAATTAAAAAGTTTGTTAGGGTTACCTAAGCAACTAGCAACTGCAATCCTCAAAGATGATGATGTCACAGAAAAGAAATCTCATTTAAGATTTGCCGCCTGTCCTCAAAGGGATCAAAAAGTAATTTTTGTTAAAACTATACAGCTATGTATATAGCTGTGTCATCAACTTTAGAGGTAAAACTATCAGGGAAATTATTGATATAAATAAGAAGCAACCAGAACTAAAAACAAAACCTTGTGAGAGCAATAACTTAAACTTCACCTAACTGCTCAGTAAAACCTTTCTGTTATAATGATTAACTGCTCAGTAAAACCTTTCTGTTATAATGATTAACAAGTCAAAAAAAGGATCAAAATCAGTATTGATTTTATATTTCATTTTTATACTTTTTTTCTTATATATCAAGTTTTTTAATAAAATACAAACATAATTTCAAATGACTTGAGAGCTTATATAAAATTAACTTAGAACTCATATAAAATTTGAGTTTTATTTTATTAAATTTACCAAAATATTTTTATTACTATTTTATTATTATTTTTTTATGTAAATTTAGTAATAGTTATTTTTATTATTGTATATTTAGTAATAGTTATTTTTATTTATTGTAGTTATTTTTTAGTTTATGTATATTTAGTAATAGTTATTTAGTCATATATTTAGTCATAAATTTTTCTACTTTCTTACTGCGCCTGAGTTCTTACGAATCTGACTCTTATGAGTGTATGAGTGTATATAGATAAATTTGTATCTTATATATTTTAGATAATAAAATAAATTGTTATTACTTTAAATTACAGGGTGGAGAGCCAATAGGTATTTCAAAATTCCAGGATATTTTCAGGACTTTTCAAGGAAAATTTTGGACTTTTCAAATTATGTTGATCTTTCCTAGACCAGAAAAAAACAAAATATGTTGATTTAAAAAAATATGAAAAATAACTAAATAATTAGTAGATGTTAATAATACTGAGACTAACATTAAACAAAATTTTTTTTTTGCATTACAGAAAATCTATAATTATCAAATTCAATATAACTAAAGTATCAGGATTTCCAGGAATTATTGCTAAAAAGTATTTTTCGAGGACTTTTTCAGGACCTATTAAATTCCAGAACTTTCAGGTTTTCAAGGACCGCTGACCACCCTGAATTATTAAAAACTAAACATCCTAATGCCTAATTTACTAATAATTTAAATAACTTACTAATAAACCCGGGGTTGCTTACTTTAGTTAAATTATTAAAAACCAATCTGTTTTAATTATTAAAATCATCCTTGATGGAAAACTCTACTTTATTTCCAATAACCTTTGGGGTAGCCCCAAGTTCCATCCTTGGTCTTGTGTTTATTTTTATTTATATTAACCCCTCTTGCATGGTGACCATAAAATTACAGTTAACCCACATAAAATTACAGTTTTTCCACAATTTGATATTACACTCTTGACAGTAGTTAAGACCCAGTCACTGTAGTGGTCGTAATACTATAATTAATGTTGTTTTTTGCATTCCTTTAGTAGATGGCCAAAAGAACACATTGAAATTTTATTTATTTGTTTTTTTTTTAAGTTTTTTTTCTTTATATATTATAGTTGAATAATGAGTAAAGAATTAGTAATTAAAGTAAAATTTTTTATATTACATAATAACTACTATGATAGCTGAAACTATGATATTTCTACATTGATGAAAAGCTTAAAAATATTACATCCATTACATATATTAATACTAACATGTTTATCATAATCTGTCATGAAATACTGTAAATTATCATAAAATTACAAAAAAACAAATACCATAAATTACCATGAAGGGTCCAGTTTTTTCTACCAAAACATCATATTTTTCTTTCCATCTAAAAACAAATATTAATTGTGGCATATTATTGCAAAAATAAAACACAGCTTAAATTTGTAAGAATTTATAAAATGTTGCAAGTTTGTTTTCAACTACTCCACCATATTTGCTACCACCATATTTACTAACATCATATTTACTACCAGTCATATTTACTATCATCATATTTACAACCAGTCATATTTACTACCATCATATTTTTTCAGATGTTTTCAGATGTTCATATTCATTTTTACTCAAATTGCATCCTTTTGATATATTTGAGAAAAAAGGATCTACAGTAGCATGCAAGGGCTTCTCATTTAACCATATCATTTCTTCCAGATGGTTAAGTTAAATGGAATAAAAGCTGTTTGAAAAAGACAGTTAACTTAGGCCACACTAATACTTGCCTTTGTACATAATTTATTTCACTTTGACTAGCAATACCATCAATACACACTCAACTTTCAAATACACACTCTAGCATTTCCTCACTTTCAGCAAATATTCTTAGCGTCTTAGCATTAGAAAAACATAAGTTGTCAGAGTATGATTAAATATATAAATACTTTGTAGAAGAACCAGATGTTTCTGCTACAATTACAATCTCACGATAACATTTTCTGTTTTTCAATCTTAGACTTACAAACTTGGTAAAAAATACAAAACATTGGAAACCAAACTCATGAAGAAACTAGTTTTGCACTATACTATACCAAGTGTGTAAGGTAGAGTAACTCTTCTCTCACACATATATTACTAAAAAAAAACTTTCTTCTCACATAGAAATAACTTTAACAACTGCATATAACCTGGCAAAAAAATAAATTCAAACGAAAAGTTGAAAAGATATTTAACTAAACTTACGACTTAATTTCTTCATGGAGATAATTATCATGATTTTGAATCTCAGGACTAAACATCATCAAATAAAACTTTAAAGCAGCAAAAAAAAGTAAAAAAAAAAACAAACTTAATATGAACTAAAAAAAAACATACTGTTCCTTTATTTCTTCAGCTTTGGTAAGTTTAATTTGAGTTTCCATCAATCGCCTGAAAATCATTATATAATAAAACTTTTCATTCTTTTTATGCAAAAGTTTTAATTTTCACTTTAAAAGTTGTATACCTTACAACTTCTTCGTGCATTATCTTTGATTCTTTAATAACCTCATCTTTTTCCCTGAATTCAATAACAAAAGTTATTATGGGTATTAAAATATTAAAATAAAAACTTTGTTCTTTCTACAAAAAATTTATTTTAATTTATTTAAGAGTTTTTTTTCAAAGGAAAGTCTTTCTGTAGGTTTTTTCTCTTTTTAGAAATGTTTTTCAGACTGGTTTAGTTAACAACAAAAGATCAATTAAAAAATCTGTTAAAATGCTTCCTGGATTTGCCAAATATTACAAAAATATATTACATAACAAAAATATAACCATAACAAATTGTTTATTTATAGATCTTGTAATTGGAAAATTGAGCCAACACTATGTGGTTGAAAGTACCCCCCTTCTCCTGGAATAAGTGACTCTCAAAACTGTATGAAAATTAAAAATTCAATTAGTCCCACATGAAATCATGTCAAATAAAATATATTGTGGCTTTCTTTTAAATGGGGATTTTAACTTTGAAAAGATTAATTAGAAAGAAAAATTTATGGAAGAAACAAACAAAATAGCAAGTTTTTTATCGCACTTTTATGGACTGCTTAGACAAATATTTTTTATTTCAAAATATAAATAAGCCAATGTTTCAATTGGATGATAAAACTGAAACTAATTTCTTCGATTTAGTAATAATAAAAAGTACTTTGCAAATATGTAAGCTAGAACATCTCCAATCATATGTAAGCTAGAACATCATCCAATCATATGTAAGCTAGAACATCTCCAATCATATGTAAGGTAGAACATCATCCAATTAATTTAACTATGGTCATTACATTTTAAAAGATAGTTACAACTACAGTTTGCTTGAAGCTATGGCAGTGAAGTTAAACAAAAAAACATCTATATTAAAGGAAACTACAATGAAATTAACAAGCACTTTAATATTATTGACTGGTTAAAGATATTTGAAAATTTGAATGCTAACAAGTATTACGAAAAATGATTAGAACATTATAAAAATGCTTGTAATTTAAATATATCATTAACTAAGTCAAATAAAAGAAAAAAAACACCTAGGTTTAACAAAAAAAAAGCACCATGGTTTAATAAAAGCCTATTAGGAATGATTAAGGCAAAAAAAGATTTACCAATAAAGTGTAGAAATGCCAAATTCAGAGATCAAAATGGAGTAAAAAATGGCTTCAATTGTAATGATAGAAAATGACATCAAATGGGAAAAATACATCAATACAATTGGAACAAGAGCAAATAGAAGGCTTGGTCAGATAAAAAACTCTTTTTGCCAATCAGAAAAAAGTTCAATTAAACTGTTATACACATTATTAGTTTGTTCACAATTGGAATTTGCAGCAACGGAATCAAATACATCTAGAAAGTTAAAAACAAAATATAATTTGCTGTGAAGACTGAAAATTATACTTTAAAACTTTAAACTGACTTTAAAAACAAAAAGAGCAAGTGGTGATAGAATATTATAAAATAAGTAAAAATCATCCTCTTAGAATAACTAATAATAACAATAACAAAAGATCATATACAATACATAAGTATGCAATAACAAAAGATCATATACAATACATAAGTATGCAATAACAAAAGACCATATACAACACATAAGTATGCAATAACAAAAGATCATATACAACACATAAGTATGCAATAACAAAAGATCATATACAACACATAAGTATGCAATAACAAAAGACCATATACAACACATAAGTATGCAATAACAAAAGACCATATACAACACATAAGTATGCAATAACAAAAGATCATATACAATACATAAGTATGCAATAACAAAAGATCATATACAACACATAAGTATGCAATAACAAAAGATCAGAAAATATGAAAAGCAACTCACACACCATAAGATTCAACTTCTTCACAAACAGAATTACCAAATGGAATAGTTTAACAGAGGAGATAATCAATTTAGATGTGAACATCTTCAAGAACAAGTTTGATCTTTTCAAAAACAATTAAAAAGAAATAATTTAGCTGTAAAACAAATTATATATAAATTAGTAGAGAATCACTTATCAAACTTTATTCATTTAACACAGTGCTTCATCAATAAACACTCATCAGAAATAAACACTCATCAAAAATGAAGACTCATCAGAAATAAAGACTCATCAGAAATGAATATTCAAATTGATAAAACTTCAATTAATACCAAAAATTAAATTACCAGAAGTCATAAATGTCTAAGCTACTGTAAATTGTATATTTGTGGAATATGCTGACACTATTATAAAAAGAATCATTTAGAACTGTTTACTTCTGCTTTTTATTTAAATACATTTTTAATGTAATTATTTTTGAGCTCACTTAATTTTATAGTTTTTTAGGAGAAACTTATTTTCATTAATATTATACATAAATATATAGTTTTTTAGGAGAAACTTTATTTTCCTGCATTTAGAAATCAATTTCAATTTTTTTTTTAATGAACATTCTTAGTTCGCTTGTGTAATTATTTTAAATTTTTCTTGTATGCATAATATGCATTTTTTTGGAAATATTGTTATATGCAGGCGGTGTTTTAATGATGAACCAATTCAATATAAAATTCATAGATCATCCAGGCCATATTTTTAAAAATCTGGAAAATTGTTTAGGTAAAATATATCGGGAATATAATTTCATTAAAAATAAACTAGTAAACAGTAATTAACCTTCTCAGTTTTATCTCTGACTCATCAAAAAGTAATATAATGAGAATGATTTTAAGCTGAGGACTCCAGTATTTTTCCTCCTAATATTTTCAGTAAAATAAAATGATTTAAGGTTTTATAAATAAGCTTTAAAATTTATTTTTAATAGTTTAAAACACCATTTACAAATATTAGCAAGAATTGCACACAAGAGTTGCACCTGTTTCGTATTAAAGTAAAATTAAAAATACAGTTTACAATCTTTATCATTTGTACCAAAATGATTGTTAAAAAACTCAGTCACCAATGTCATGTAAAAGATTGTGTTAAAATATAAAACTTCAACTTCAGTTATAATTTGATTCATTTATAAAATGACTCATATATAAAATATCTGTTCAGTTTCATTTCCTTAAATTTATTTAGATTTTCTTAGAAATAGGAAAATAATAGTTGTTCATAATTTGCAACCTTCTAATATTAGTATCATGTAGGCAGATAGAAGTAACATTGTTATACCAAAAAGAGCACTATTATGTTGGTAGCACTATCATATTGATAGCACTATCATGTTGATAGCACTATCATGTTGATAGTGCTTATGGTAATGCAAAAATAACTAATAGCTCATTTAAATAATAATTGTGCCTTATTTGATGCAAAATCTTTTTGTCTCTAATAAGAAAAGCTTCTCATTTTATGTCATTTTGGTGCAAATGATTGGTAAATTTAGCATTGCCTTTTACACAGACTACACAAGAATTTTAAATATTCTAGGATTATTAAACAAACTTAGTTTTCAAAAAGTATTTAAATTGGGTCTCAAAATAAAATTGAATAAAGATTTAGAAAATAGTTTTGAATAAGAATTTTAACTTTAAATACCTTATCTAAATTTTTTTTTTGAAACATTCAATTTTTTAAATGTTTAATTGGCTTTCTAGTAATATTTTTTAAAACACCTTTGCTTTTCTAATAATATTTTCAAAATCACCTTTGCTTCACTAGAAACTCTTCTTTTAAACTTTGCAATTGGTTACATAACATAGTTATTTCTTCTTTGTATCTATGAATCATACAAGAAAAATCTTATATTTCTTTATAGTTTACATCTTTATATTTACACATTTAGTTTCTTTTTTGTTTAAAACTCATTTTGCTAAAAAAAGTTTAAAAAGCTAGAAAATACAATAAATAAATTAAAAAAAAAAAAAAAAAGAAAAAAAAAAAAAAACCATGGTTACCCTTTAACATCCTGTAGTAAAGATTTTGATTTCATATCTTCTTCTACTTTTGTTGTTTCTAATTTCTTATACAATTCTGAAATGATTGTACTTTTTTCATCCAATGAGTTTTTTAAATTTTCATTTTCTTCTTCTAATCTAAAAAATGTTTTTAAAAAAATTGAGTAAAAAAAAAAAAGTAAAAAATTAATAAAAAACTGAACTCTTTGATTGCAAACAAAAGTTACAAACCTAAAAAATCATCAATTTAAAATTGTTATTTAAATTTGGTATTGTAATGTGTTATTGAAAGTTGAAGGATCCCTTAGAATAGTTAAATTAAAATGCTATTTTTATGTCATCTTTTTTTGATCTGTCATCTGAATCTAACCTATCAATTGGAGGTGTCGGAACTAGTAATTAAGGTTAAGTATGTGGCATTATCCAATTCGAATCTAATTTAAAATGTTTTAATTAACTCATACAAGATATTATGCATTCATACAAGGCATTAAACATTTACTGTTATCTATTTCTTTATTTATTTGTATTTCTCTTATTTGTATTGATAATATATCTTTAATTCTAAAACATTTTATTTCAGATAATTTAAGTTTTTTTAAAATTTTTTATATCATTTTCACTTCCAACAAGGAGGCAAGCAACCACTATCGGGGTTAGAAGTTACTAGAAGAGAGATGAAGTATATAAAGCAAGGAAACCATAAATATACAACTTAAAAAATTGCAAATTATAGGAATCAGGAAAACAAGATAAAGGAAGCAAATTCCAAAAGACTGATGTTTGAGGGAAAAAACTAGACAAATAAAATTTTTTGGAGCACTTAGGAAGAGTCACAGTGAAAAGATGAGATTTAATTGAATGAAGTAACACAAGAATGAATTTTAGTAGATGGCTCAAGAGACTCAAGCTCTTTAAGAGCAGTGTCCATTATAATATTTATAGAAAAGAGAAAGAGAGGCAACATTATAACAATGTGATAATGGTTGAAGGTTGGCTGCAAGAGCAGGCCCAACTATGTTTAATATGCATTTTTGCATAGTAAACATAGCTGTCTAGAAGAGAAAGAGCATCATTAGAAGATCCGCCCTAGATGTGGCAACAGTATTCCATACAAGGACGGTTTTGAGATTTACAGAGATAAAGAATAGAATCCAGAGTAAGAAAGTGTTAAGCACAATAAAGAGAAGCAACTTTAGCAGATGTTAATTTTACAATGAATTTGATATATGGTTTCTAAGAAAGATTGGAAGTAAGAATTAATCCTAGAAGATGAAGGGTAGATGACTCATCAAGTACATTACCGTTTATAAATATAGGAAGATCTAGATTGTTGCGATAATGATTTGCTGAAAAAAATTGAGTTTTATCTGAGTTAAAGTTTACCAGCCACCGAGAGCCCCATACTGTAGCAGAAGTAAGATCCTTTTCAAGCTCAAATGTCCCCTCCAAGCAATCAGAAAGTGTTGACATCTTATTAAACTTTTAAAAACAGAAATTTTGCAAGTTGTTTATTTTTTGTGTTTATATTTTGTGTATGAACAACATTGTCATGTACTATTTGAGTTATAAACTAAAAAAAATTCCAATAGATAATCAATTTGTTTCTTTTTGCCATAAAAATAAATATTATCTTTCTTAGATTTTTTTACAATGAAAAGACCAAAACTTGTAGCTCATAATGAAGACTTAAGTATTCAGATAGTCAACCATGTGATGCTATTAATGTGGTTAAAAAAGGTATGATTGTGTACAAAGGGAGCAAGACATTTGGAATTCTTTATCAGAGGATTCGTGATAAAATTTCTAGAAGAACTTCTTTAAAGATACAACACTGCTAATATGAATGAATCAGTATCAGTTGAACGCATTAAAAACAAGTTGAATGGTTACTTAGATACACAAGAATGGTTACTTACATGCACAAAAATGGTTACTTACATGCAAAAGAATGGTTACTTACATGCACAAGAATGGACCATGTATGTATGTACATGGACCATTGTATTACATGTAGTTTGTTATTAGATGCTGTACAAAAATATTTGAATTCCAACAAAAAAACACAATTTACTAACAACTGTCCGGCAAAAGGTTGGTTTTAGGCATTTCTTCAATTAACATCATCTTCAATTAACATCATCATCAATTAACTTTTTACTTATATATAATAAGTAAAAAGTTAATTGATTATTTAATATAATCTCAAAAACAAGGTGAATACTTTAACAGAGCTAGAGGAGGAGTAACTGAAAATTTTTGATTCACTCACTTAACAAGGCTAAAACTTAAAAACATTAAAACTCATTCTGATTCACTTCTAACAAGGATCCACCATCATTAAGTTGGGAGTTACTAGAAAAAGAGAGTTGAAGAGCAAGGAAACAATCAACAGAAGACTCAAAAAGCTAAAGATTGTATGCTTTAGAAAAATATAAAAATGGCAATTCCAAAGTATTGAAGTGCGGGGAAAAAGATGAAAAAAATTTCTTAGAGCACAAAAAGACAAATACAGTAAAAAAATGCACCTTTTCTAAATAGAACTAGAGATAATAGCTCTTTGATAAAGCAGGTCCAAATACGCTTACAATGAGAGGTCAGTAGTGAATGATAGCCCAATAAAACATAAAGAAGAGGACTGAGAGAGGACTCAGTGAGAGAGTTATATATAAGGTTGCCATACGTTCAGCTTTTACGAAGGAGAACACAGTAAAAAAAAATTATTTTTATAAATTTGATGCTGTATTCTCCTTCGTAAAAGCTGGACGTCTGGCAACCCTAGTTATATAGGGATGTTGACAATTATGCAATAGTTATTTTGTGTAAATAACAAAGTTTTGTTGGAGTTAAAACTCACAACCCACTGCAAGCCCCAAACTGTTACAGTCTTATTTTGATTGCTTAGAACAGGCTGCCTGTTCCAGAAACAATAAAGGAAACAATAAATGACAAAGGATAGAACCTCAAGGTACCTCAAAAATTAACGGAAATGAAGAAGAGTGTTCAGTGAGTGTTAGCTTTAGAGGATGACTTTAATACTGTGATTAGAAAGAAACGATTTGACCATCTCAAAAATTTGCCCCAACACCATATGAAGCACAATTATGGAGAAGTCTAGCATGCCTAAAGATGTCTAAATAGCCCTTGCCTGGCTGCTCCCTTCTAATGCACAATCTTCTCTTTCTATGAATGACTTGCCTCAGTTAGCAAGTCAGCCATAGAAAGAGAAGATCAAAAACCATACTGATTTTCAAAGAGTAAGTTATTAGATTCAATATGTTAGAAATTTGTTCATTAAATAAAGACCTTGCTAATAAAAGAAGTTTGATTGGACGATAGTTTGAAGGACCGGAGTGTTCTCAAGAGTTTTTAAAAACTGGAATCACAGATGCCACTTTCCAGCAGACCAGATGGCAAGAAACAGTCAAGCACTTAATAAATAGTTTCGAGAGAGTAGAAAAGAGTTCTGGAAAAACACTTTTCTAAGACTATAACAGAAATGTTGGCTGGATCACAAGCTGCAGAGTTTAATTGAGAACTTTAGCAAGCCTGATTGATTTGGATGTCTAACAATGGCTTAACATGTTTAACTGGAATGAAGGAAGAACATGGCCATAGATTCAAGAGTCTTATTATAAGATAAGTTCTGTGCAAACAGATCTGCCTTACCCTTAGGAAAAATAATCAGATCAGAACTAAAAATGAAATGCTTGATTTACCTTAGTTAATGACTCTGTTAAAAATTTTCCATAAGTCTATAGAGACTTATTTCTGAGGAAAGATACAAGATTTAGTCAACTGTGAATAATTGAGATAAAAGATTTATAGAGATCACTGCATGGTCAAAACTACCTAAAGGAGATCAAGAGAACCTAAACACAAGTTAGGGTCAGAGAAAAGACACAAATTAAAGAATGAAAGTGCATGATTAGGGTTCTCAGAAAAACGAGTCACAAAGTTAACTACCAGAGTAAAAGATTGAGAAATACAGAAGTTTTTGAGCTTTAGAGCCAGCAAGGTCAGTGGTGTTAGAACAAAGCCATTCAGTGTAATGAGCATTTAAGTCACCAATAACAATATTGTTGGTAGAGGAGTAAAGAGAAAGGGCTTGGTCAATTCGATTCATATCAAAAAAAGAGCAGTCTTGAAAACAACAAAGTGAAAGGAGTGAAAAGATGCTAAGCGGAGACAAATAAAAAAATGGTCAGCGGATTCAAAGCTAATTTCTAAACAAAAAGGTGAACTGATGCATAAGTATACATCTAAGCCAAACATGTGACTCTTGCATTTTAAAATTTAATTTTATTAGGAATTTCAAATAAATTAAAAATGATAAAAAGAACGTTTTAAATTTAAATAAAATATTTAATATTAACACAAAAAAAAGAATGTTTTATTTAAATTCTGAATGAAATTCTTTAAAAAGAACAGAAAAACAAATGTTTTATTTAAATTCTAAAAAAATTGTTAAAATAAAAATGAAAAAAAGAACATTTAACTCTAAATAAAAATACTTTTAATAAAAACAAACATTTTATTTAAATTCTAAATTAAATAATTAAAAGAAAAAAGAAAAAACAAAAATTTTAATAAAATTCTAAAGTGTTAAGAATTTTGATTGTAAATTAAAAATGTATGTAATGTTTGATTATATAAAATAATAAAATAGCTAAAATAAAAGTGGGTTGTTAAAGTAAAATGTTTAAAAGCAATTTTTTTCTGGATTTTATTTTTGTTATTATAACATTGCATTAAATTAACTTTGTATTAACTTTATACTTTATTAATAGCTTTATATTATTAAATGGATTTTATTTTTGTCATTATAACATTGCATTAAATTAACTTTTTATTAACTTTATACTTTATTAATAGCTTTATATTTTCCAAATAACAGTACTCAACAATAATAACAATAAAAAAATTCTACTTCAAATATATTCAATTTATATATTTATATTTCAAGCTTTATATTATTAATTTATATATTTATATTTCAAGCTTTATATTATTAATTTATATATTTATATTTCAAGCTTTATATTTAATCTTATTTCAAGCTTTATATTATTAATTTTCAAATATAAACTATACTACTTCAAATATATTTAATTTTTTATTAAAATTTTTATCATTAGATAGAAACAAGTAACTTTTTTGCTCTTACATTTTTCACTTTAACGACTCGGTTGAATGATAATACCAAGATTTGAAGAAAAAGGTGGCAAACTCTGCATTCTTTTTTCTGTTAATTTTATGCAAAAGGTTTGCAAGTTTGTTAATTTGTTGAACCCTGTTTCAAAATTTTGAAACGACTTTATGTTGACCTAAAACAATTTTATGTCAGCAAAAAACAACTTTTTTTTTTCAAATTTCAAGGGCTGCTATTGGAGTCTTTGCATATGAAAGGATATTGACACTGAAATCCAAAGAAAAAATGCTGAATTCAAATTAGTCTCAGAAAGAGCAAGCAAGTTTGGTGAAAATTGCATAAGGTAAGATTAAACTGATGTTACATCGAAGACTACACATGTTTATAAAAGATATACTGAAACAGTTTTGTTAGTGATGTGCTCTCGGCAATGAACACCAAAAGCACTAACAGCTTTACAACTGTAGATAGAATCTCTCTGAGAGCTATTACTGAGTTTGATAAACTTCCAGTTTCAGAACTAAAATATTTGAAACCATTAACCAAAACTACCAACCAATTTCAGAAATAACTGAAATACTTGAAACCATTAACGAAACTACCAGACAGTTTCAAAACTAAATAACTAAAATATTTTAAACCATTAACGAAACTACCAGCCAGTTTCAAAACTAAATAACTAAAATACTTGACACCATTACAATACTAGTAACACTGAAATTTTTAGTTAATTATACTTCTGAAATAAGATTTGAGTACCTTTCTGCTTTTTCTTTTGTTCTAATTGACAAACTGAAAAAAAAATGTTTTAATTGTTTAATTTATTAATAATTTTAATGTTATTTATTTAAATAATAAATGTAAAACAACATAAAAAAAAAAAACATTTTCTACCTCTTAATGTACTCTATTTCACGAACTAGCCTCTCTTGTTCAGAAACACTTTGTTCTTGAGTTCTCTGTAACTAATATATATATATATATATATATATATATATATATATATATATATATATATATATATATATATATATATATATGGGCATTTCCAAAAAATCACGCACGGAAACTCGTATATGTTTTTACTTTTATTTTCATAAAAATAAAACTAGCGATCTCCGATTTACTCTCATTTAATTCTAATCAATATAAATATTTTGTAAACAAAAAATAGTAAGAATTAGTAATGTTAACAAAGAATAAATAAAGTTTGAAATGGAATCAAGCACGGAACAGAAAAACTTCGATTTTAGTTACTAGATAAATAAACTTTAATTCCTCGGACAATATAAGTTTCACCGGTATACATTTTTTTAAAAATAATATTTTAAACATTAGTAAGATTTCCAGAAAGTTACAGGATTGCACTATGAATCATAGAGTCACAGCAATCGTTTAAATGCAGTTTATGAATGATCACGCACGGAAGTCATGCACGGATGTTGCAAATTTGTCAATTTCATGTAGTTATTTTTATGAAAATAAATTGCTAGTGAGTATTTCAAGTAAAATATTATACTTCTGCAACTCATATTTAATATATTTTCGATGAGAAACGGCAGTCATCAATTATTAAAAGCTAGAGTATGGCGTTTTGAAAATTATTGTATATTTTTCAAAATGTAACGATATTATTACTCAAAAAAATAAAATTGTAAAAATGTGTATATTTAATTTATTCAGATAGCCTAAAATATGATAAAATGTTATAATTGTTCTTTAAGAAAATCAAAATAGTATGCATATTGCATAAAGTCCCAGCTTTTAATTGCTAAAATAAAGAAAAATAAAAAATCATGCACAGAAATGGAAATGCCCATATATATATATATATATAATTATTTTTTTCTCTTTCAATAATATATATATATATATATATATATATATATATATATATATATATATATATATATATATATATATATATATATATATATATATATATATATATATATATATATATATATACATACATACATACATACATACATTCTAACACTTGAAAAAATTAACACATTGTAGATATTAACAGACCAAATGATTTCAAATTTAAATTGTTTCAACAAATAGCAGAATGTACTGAAATATTAATCCAATAGTGTAACCATAGCACCCACTCGTAGAGTTATAATAATCATAAATTTATATGTGATTAAATCATAAGTGTGTCCAAAACAAAAAGTAGTTTCAAATTTTAATTAAAAACTGAAACCAGTATTGATTACTAGAGAGTAAGTTGTTGGACTCAATATAACAAACAAATCTAACAAAAAAAATAAGAAGAACTACCATTATTTTAAAATAAAATTTGAACTGAAGGAAAAATACTATAAATTGCAAAATGACATCAAATTAATATCAATTTTGAAAAAAAAAATTCCCAATCAAATTGTAAAACCAGAATACTTATTTTAATAAATATTATTCTTTTCCACCCCTTTTTATGCATTTTTTCAGTGCAAACATACTTGATCAGATTGATAAAGTTTTTTTTTACATTTTATTTTTGTTGCTTTGTATAGAGGTGTACCGGATATTTTTGCCGGATATGCCAGATAGTGAACTTTTCTCAAGTTCTTTAAGTGTTTATGAAATAAAAACAAGTTTTACCATTCTACATTAAACAGTGTTCAAGATTTAAAAAAAAAAAAAAAACAATAAAAAACAATAAATAACACAGGTATATAAGTTAATAATGTATAAAGAAAAATCTTTTTTTATAGCCAATTTTTTTTTTTTTTTTAAATTACTATTTTCTATACTTTGTCAGCACATATACCATGTCATACAGTTTTTCACTGATTTTTTAAACTAAGAACTTGAATAATATTTATTGAAGACTGGCACGACTTGTTTTTTCTTCATAAACACTTATAGAACTTTAGAAAAATTCACTATCCGGCATATCTGGCAAAAATATCCGGTACACCTCTAGTTTTGTAGTATTATTAAATAAAATATATTGTTCATTATTTATAAAAATTAATTTTTGTTATTTGTAGTATTATTAAATAAAGTATATTGTTCATTATTTATAAAGTTTAACAATGATTATATACATAAAACTTGAAATAGGTGATGGACTTTGGCGCCCATCTGACTGTTTTTGAAGCTTGCCTGAAAGGGCAACTAAGGACTTCTCATGCTTTTAAAAAAATGTAAAACAGTTGCTTGCCCTCTTTGGGTGGGTCTAAGGAGCAGACAAAAGAACACTATTTTGACCTCTGTATAACCAACACACTCACTTACCCTGAATGGTATGGTTCTAATATTTCTAAAAAGGTATGGCACAACCCCTTCATTTCATCAAACTAAAATCAGATTCAGCATAATTGTGTTTGTAAATAATTAATGTAAACATTAATTTATTTTCAAATTCCTTTGCTTGCATAAATTTTTAAACATTATTTGTCAAGGCTGACACCATGTTAGTTGCGCAGTTGTTAATCATAAACAAAAACATATTTTCAATTTTTGCCAAAATTAAAAACTTCATGTATACTGTTTTATATATTTATTTTATGAAAATAAACTTTTGAAACTGTACAAGAAAACAAGTTGACCTCGGTATTTCCAGAGTACCGCACTTGTTTCTTTTGCAGAACCTTGAATCTTATAATTGTGAGCCAATTGTTTTTTTACTAATCTAAACTGTATACTATATTATTTAATTAATATAATATACAGTTAAATACCTCATTTTCCTACTAACAACTTAAGTACCACATGTTTTAGGTATAAATGTTTTACTATTTATTACTATTTAGTAATAAATAGTGGAATATAAAATTTCTATTTACATTAGAAAAATATGTGATTATAATGACACAAATAAAATCTTTAATTGTAATAAAATAACTAGTAACACAATACCAATAACATGTTCTTTTCCCATTACTACTCAATTTTTACATTTTAAATTTTATATAACAGCTTAATTGTGTCCTAACTGTGGAATAAAACTGATAATTGTTGTTTTTAGACTTTAACCTTAGGAAGTACAACATCAGAAACTTTAATTTTAGGGAGTACAATATTAGCAACTTTAACCTTAAGGAGTAAAATATCTGCAACTTTATATTGAAACAATGTATGCTGAGGTAAGTGAGTTTATATGTATACATTTGTGAGTGCATATATATAAATATATATATATATATATATATATATATATATATATATATATATATATATATATATATATATATATATATATATGTATATATATATATATATATATATATATATATATATATACATATATATATATATATATATATATATATATATATAACCACAAGTAGCCTCCTCATCTGTAGTGGCCTTCTCGGCCTTGGGGATGTGAATAAAATATATATATATATATATATATATACATATATTTATATAAACACACACACACAAATTTAGGGAAAGTTTAACAAACCTCTGAAATTAACTTTTCCAATTCTAAACTTAAAGAATTTTTTGATTCTTCTAATGCTTTTACAGTTATGGATAAAACTTTTTCATTTTCCTAAAACAAAAGAAAAAAGTAAATTATTTTAAACTTAATTATTTGTACTTAAAACACACAGAAAATATGGAAAATTAATAAAAATCTTTTTAACTATTTTAAACATAATAATTTTAATAAAATTCAGCATAACTTTTTAATGTTTTACAAATTAAAAAATCCAAAAACACATCGATTTTTAGATATCAGTTTATAATGGTTATGTTTTATGAGGTTCTAACATTTGAAAAAATTAACACATTGTAGATATTAACAGACCAAATGATTTCAAATTTAAATTGTTTCAACAAATAGCAGAATGTACTGAAATATTAATCCAATAGTGTAACCATAGCACCCACTCGTAGAGTTATAATAATCATAAATTTATATGTGATTAAATCATAAGTGTGTCCAAAACAAAAAGTAGTTTCAAATTTTAATTAAAAACTGAAACCAGTATTGATTACTAGAGAGTAAGTTGTTGGACTCATTTGGAGATGTTAAAATTTTTTTAATTTAAGACTCAAAGACCATCATAACACTAGTAAAAAGAATGACTGGACAATAGTTAGGTGTCAGCAACCTTGGAAATACAGAAGCCATTTACCAGCAGCAAAAAAACAAGATTAAATTTAGGACACCTTACAAATGCATTCTTTAAATTTAGAAAGAATTGAGAAGAGTTTTAGAAATCACTTCAGTAAAACTTGTGACTATCGGACCACAAGCTATTTAAGTGTTTTAGTGAAAAATTACATTAAGAGCAAACGAAAAAATTTAGTACAAATCAACCTCTCTGAAAGCTACTTTAAATTTTAGAAAACCTTTCTACAAGTCAGAATCAGAACCATCAGACTTTAAAAGCTATACCCTCCTTAGAAAACTCAATATAAAGAGTTGCATAGCAACTATTTATTTAAAAGACATAAAAAGCAAAAAAGTCATGAGTCAAGAATATCCACCAATCACTATCCTAGGTAGGAAATAATGCAACACAGATTTACATCTTATCCAACCAATTAAATGAAAAGAAGGTACAAAGCTGGTTAACAGAATTTTCTGTAATCAAATGTAAGAAGTCTAAATTTAATTTCAAATTTAATATAAAAGTTAACAATTATGTTTATTTCATTTTTATCAAAGATGGATAAATTTCACTGAGCTTTTACGAGACATTTATATAAAAACAATAATTATGTTTAATTTAATGGTATCCCGGTGGAAAACGAGCAAGTGACTAGCGAGCTACTAGTTTTTTTTCTTATTTTATTTTTTCCTGTCTCTAACATCTTTAAAAATTCAATTTTTAGTGTTGAGTCTATTATTGTATTTATTATATAATTATGAGAATAATTGAACTTTAACCATTGCAATATTGTAGCAGTTTGTTGCTAGCTACATATTGTAGCTTTGTAGCTAGCTACAAAATATCTACAAGTCTATAGCCGGTTAGTAGCTACATATTGAAATTTTTTAGACAGCGATTTTATTACGATATGGCTTAAGTTGCAATAGGCAGTGGGTTTTTAGCTTATTAAGCTAGCTGTCCTCGTAGCCAAATTGCTGTCTTTATCTTTACAAATATTGATAGCTTTTCGTTAACTTAAAAAAACGATCCTTATGGCTCTTTACCATTATGATTATAGTTAGCTATTTGCTAGCCGATTTCCCACCGGGATATATATATATATATATATATATATATATATATATATATATATATATATATATATATATATATATATATATATATATATATATATATATATATATATATAGAATTCCAGTGCTGTTTTATTTTAAAGACCTCAATTAAAGAGTGAGAGTAAACAATTAAAAAAAAGATATTTTAAATGGTCCCCTATTACATATATATATATATATATATATATATATGGGCATTTCCAAAAAATCACGCACGGAAACTCGTATATGTTTTTACTTTTATTTTCATAAAAATAAAACTAGCGATCTCCGATTTACTCTCATTTAATTCTAATCAATATAAATATTTTGTAAACAAAAAATAGTAAGAATTAGTAATGTTAACAAAGAATAAATAAAGTTTGAAATGGAATCAAGCACGGAACAGAAAAACTTCGATTTTAGTTACTAGATAAATAAACTTTAATTCCTCGGACAATATAAGTTTCACCGGTATACATTTTTTTTAAAATAATATTTTAAACATTAGTAAGATTTCCAGAAAGTTACAGGATTGCACTATGAATCATAGAGTCACAGCAATCGTTTAAATGCAGTTTATGAATGATCACGCACGGAAGTCATGCACAGATGTTGCAAATTTGTCAATTTCATGTAGTTATTTTTATGAAAATAAATTGCTAGTGAGTATTTCAAGTAAAATATTATACTTCTGCGACTCATATTTAATATATTTTCGATGAGAAACGACAGTCATCAATTATTAAAAGCTAGAGTATGGCGTTTTGAAAATTATTGTATATTTTTCAAAATGTAACGATATTATTACTCAAAAAAATAAAATTGTAAAAATGTGTATATTTAATTTATTCAGATAGCCTAAAATATGATAAAATGTTATAATTGTTCTTTAAGAAAATCAAAATAGTATGCATATTGCATAAAGTCCCAGCTTTTAATTGCTAAAATAAAGAAAAATAAAAAATCACGCACAGAAATGGAAATGCCCATATATATATATATAATTATTTTTTTCTCTTTCAATAATATATATATATATATACATACATACATACATACATACATACATACATGCATGCATGCATGCATGCATGCATGCATACATACATACATACATACATACATACATACATACATACATACATACATACATACATACATACATACATACATACATACATACATACATGCATGCATACATACATACATACATACATACATACATACATACATACATACATACATACATACATACATACATATATACATACATACATACATACATACATACATACATACATATACATATACAAACACATTCTTGAAGCTCATAGTAGAGTAAAGAACGAGATGGTGATTCAATAAAAATAGCTACTGTCTTCTATTCTTGCCTCATAGACCATATACAAGACAGTAGGTCTTATAGGAGAAAGCAGAAAATTTCTGTTATATTCACACCCCTTCATTATCTAATAAGATGTTATTCGGTTATCATAGATGTAAATCAGTTACATTGTTTCCTGTCTAGAATAATGAACACTTGATATTCTTGACTTGACTCATGGGCATTATATTTATTCTGCTTTGGTAGGCCCTTAGACTTGAAGGGATCTCAAAGTGCCAAGACAAGTTGTGTTTATTTTAAAGAGAATGATAAAAAAAAATGTTTGGGCAAAATTTTTTTAAGTAAAAGAAAATAATAAATGTATAGCAACAAAAACAAACTTTATGGTTTTAGTCGAAGCTTGCCGTTTCCGCAGTAGCTATTCTCTGAAAGTCCTTAAAACATACGCCGCAATCTACAGACTTAATAATTTATTTAAGCGTGTTTAAATCCAAAGAGTTTTAGTAAATGACGTCATTGTAGAAATTTTTTTTTGAATCAATATTATTTGTTATTGTTTTATTTGTTTTTTAAAATAGACTTTATTATCAATCGTATGAGTTTCTTATTTTATAGGAAGCTAAACATAAGAATTATGTTTTTTTATAGAGTGCGAGAACCAAATAAAATATATTTATTTGGTTCTCGCGCTTTATCTCGAAAAAGATATTTATATTGCACTCTTAAATAAACTAAATATATAAAAAAGTCATTGATCACCTTTTATATTTTCTGAACCTTTTTTTCTTTTTATGTAAACAATGTGAACTTTTTTTTAGTTTATCTAAGCCGTTTTTTAAGTTTATCTAAGCTGTTTATTGCTATGACGCTTTTGTTCTCCTATTGAAATGACATTTAATTAATAAAGAATTTTGGTAAACGACATCATTTATTAGAGATATTTACTGAATTCTTAAATTTTTAGTTTGAAAATATTTATAGATTTTACACTTAACAAATTTACAGATAGCTTTTTATTAATTAAAGCATAAAATATTGTTGGCAATTACTAAAGACAGATGGCGATTAAAATTGTCGCAGCACGCTTTAAAAAACATATTTTTAATACTTTTCAATTTATGTTGTATTTTATATTAACCTGTCTCTTAAAAATACAAATCAAAAAACTAACAAAAAAAATAAAAAGTTTTCATTAAATGATTTCAATTTTAAAATTTACTCAATAATGCTACATTTTTTTTTGCAATCTTGACCAATAATTGTTTAATCTTAAAAATAAAATAAAGTAAGCAATGTTTTACAATGATTTACATGTTTCACATGTTTTACAAAATAAATTTCATTAAATATATTCTCGCATGATTAAATAAGAATTTTGAGAATACTTAGCAAATAAATGCTATTAATTAAACTCTTTCGCTACCAGCCGTTTTAACAAAAATTTTTACACACTTTTTTGAATAAAACTTGAAAGACATTGACGACTAATTAAAATTCGAATTGTAAATCCTTTTGAAAGCATAGCAAACTATATAAGAATATAAACAGCTAAACAAATGAACTTTTTATTTAAATAAGTTTTTAACTCGTATCATTGAACAATAAGAAATGCAAAGGGCTTAAAACATTGTTTTATAAATAGTAATCAACACATTTCCAAAACAAAACTCATTTAATGAATAAAGAGAATGTTTTTCGAGATGAAAAATAAATGTTTTTAATTACTCACCTAAATATCTATACATTTATACGAGTTAAATTTTACAGTGTTAATGCTTCTTTATTTTACAACTAAATTTAAAGAAGTTTTTTTAAGTCAGGATTACTATAGATTTTTTAACTTTGTCAAATGATAACTTTTTATAACACAACATGTTTTTTTTGTTCTTGATTATGTATAGAATTAAACCTTAATAACAAACAAATTGTGTCTAAAGTAAAAAATTATGTACAAGACATAAAATTTAATAAATTGTGAAGCGTACTC